GAAAAGGATTTAAAGTAGAAAGTGGTTGCTTGGAAAGAGGGGGTTCCCCACGAGCCTAAAATTCCCACTAGAACTTTGCCAGCTTCTAGTACAGATTCAGGTACATATGTAGGAATGAAGATTTATGCAATGGAAAGAGAATCCATGCATGACTGTGTTGAGCCCTTCAGTACATACAGAACAAACTTTTATTTAAAGTCACTTTTCACTTAGATTTTTTTTAAAATCCCTGATGCTTCCTTAATGAAGTGATATTTTGCATCATAAAAATGTAAGCCATTGTTCCCATCAATTTGAAACTGCGGCTCTTAGCTTTACATATTTATTTAATAGAATTAAAATTTAAGAACTGTTATTAAATTTACCTAGTTATAATATTTAGTTAATAACTTGTTTCGTATCTTTCTTAGGTCCAAAATTATTTAAAGAACCCAGCAGCAAGTCAAACAAACCAATTATTCACAACGCTATATCCCATTGCTGTCTTGCTGGAAAAGTGAATGAACCACATAAGAATTCAATATTAGAGGCAAGTAGTTATTTATTAAAACTGCAGTCTTATGAATGTACCTGCAGTAAACTATCACCTGTAATGCTTATTTCATAATTTTGTTAATAGCATGTTATCTTGAATGCTCTTCCCATAACGTGCCTATGAAGTCAAGTATGTTGTTTTAAATACACAGCAGACTGATGTTTTTCCTTCCTTCCTCCCTTCCGCAAATCTGCATTTGGAAGAATTTTCTGCATGCTCCTATTTAAACTATTAGAAAAGTTGAAAATTAAGTTCAGTTTTATTTGTTAAAATGTGGATGCTTCCATTGGCAACACGTGTGTTGTGAGTAAAACATATTCATTTCCTTGGAGATGGTCAGAGATGCAAAGTTAGGCTGAAGAAGATTTTAAAGAAAGAAAAATGAACTTTAGTGTTTAAATACTATCCCCCAATTTAGAGCCAGACTAATTTAAAGGGGTTAAAGAAAAACCCACATATTCATTCAAAAGAAAAATGTATGCACCCTTATACTGTGAAATTCTTCCTGTGATATTGAATTGCAAAGCAAGATATTATAATGGAGACAGTGCAAGAACAGGAAACAAACCAGTGTTTTCTGAATTATTACTCTTCCTCCAAGTCTCTTTACAGTAAAATAATTCAGACTATATTCTGAGATCTTTAATTTCTTCAGTGTTCCTGTTTTGGTTTGCATCATCACTTTCTTTGGCTGACACGGCTTTCACAGGAGTTGCTTGTCCATCTCCCTGAAGTATCCAGTACAACTAAAAATAATCCTAAACTAGCTTCTATAGGGTATGCTCAGGTATTTAAACACCTGTGTTCACATAGATAATCTGCAATTGCTCTGTTTGTATGGGGCTTGTGGCTCTTGTGATGGAAAATGATTGGTCTAGATGTGCTCCTAAGGAGCCTTCTTTGTTTATTTTTATTATTATTATTAAAAAAAATCACTTTTTATGTTCTCTTTCCATATTAAACTGGCAACCGCATTCTCCAAGGTAAAAGCTTCATGCTCCTCTATGGGTTAGTCACCAGGAGGTGCTCATATCGCAAGAGAATGTCAAGTTTTTATCCCTGTAGCCTAATGTAATTATTGTATCCAATCACTGTATCTTAAGCAATATACTAATCATTGCAGTGTATGGTTTCTATGCTGTTAATGTCAAATACAGAAGAAATTCAGTTAATTAGATCACTATTTGTATATTGAATGGTACTGGTTTTTCCCTTTTGTCCTCCCCTTCTGAAAAAAATTCTTATTACACAGAAGTTTATTCTAAACTTAATGTTGTCAAATTTAAAAATAAAATAAACAGAAGCATAGTGAAAATTGTTGACAAGAAAGAGTGTTGTCCTGTCCCCAATCTGATGAGGTTTTTGTATCCCATTGTTTTTAGCTTGGAGATTCCTCTTTTAATAGTTGAGTTCTTTCGGTGTCTTGAGTTCTCCTTGTCTCCAATATTACATTATATTGTTACGTGGCAGTTCAGCATCTCCTGTGCTCTGTATTCGTGTTCTATCTGGAAAACCCAACTTCCAGTGTCAGAGGTCATGGGGGGGAAAACACTATTTTAAATGTTTAACTTTTCAAGAATTCCAAATTAAGCAACTTTTAGTCTTCATACCTTTAATTTACTGAGTACTCAGTCTTGTTTGATAGTCTTCTTTATGAACAGTCCTAAGCATTTTTCTTTTTTAAAATATAGGAACTAGAGAAGTGTGATGCCAACCACTACATTATTTTGTTCCGTGATGCTGGCTGCCAGTTTAGAGCACTTTACTGCTACTACCCTGACACTGAAGAAATCTACAAGCTGACTGGAACAGGGCCAAAGAGCATCAACAAGAAAATGATTGACAAACTTTATAAATATAGCTCAGACAGAAAACAGTTTAACGTAATTCCAGCCAAAACCATGTCTGTCAGCGTGGATGCTCTTACTATTCATAACTATTTGTGGCAAGCCAAGCGACCTGCAGTGCCAAAGAAGACTCAGACTCGTAAATGACACTGAATTTTTGGGGAGAAGATTGCTGACTGGGATTACATTGAAAGAAGAAACGGTTATCATTTTCCTCCAGTTGGGTATGAAATGTGCAGAACCGTAAATATTTTTAAGAGGCTTCTAAACAAAAAACATGGATGCAAGTAAATAAGAATGAAGGAACAATGCCAGTGTTTTTTATGAATGATAAATCTGCTGTTACGCCCAATGCTAACTACTGAGGCTTTCAAATGAGAGACTGCATGTAGCAAGATCTTTAATCAGTGGATTTCCTTTTACTTGAAGCTCTTTGTCGGTACAAATTGGAAATAATTTAGTTTGTTTTTCTCTCCACCTCATTTCCTCTTTTTTCCCCATCACTCGTAAAGTTGGCAAGCTCTGAACTTCGAACAGATCTTGGGCGGGGGTGAGTTTTTTGGGTTTTTGTTTTTTAATGTTCTTTAGGGAAAATCATCCTGTGAGAATTTTTTTTTGAGGAACTGTATAATAGATCAGATTGTTGTACTGTATCTCCTGCCAATGTTCAGTTCAGTGCTCCGATTTCTGAAAAAGCCCCAGCCCATGCTGCTCAGAACAAAGTTTACGTTCACTAGAAGCACTGAAAGATTGCAAAGTCTGTCTTTTTAAAAAATAACGTTTGCAAATTTAAAGATGACTATTTCTGGAACACAATCATGAAGAAGCATACAGGTGCTAATAGCTGGAATATGCCTGACTGAAACTTGAGGCAAGCTGAATGGAGCACAGTTATCATTATTTCAGTTTCAGGTAGTGTCCTAAAGATTTGTTTGCTTTAATAAAGACAGATTCTGGTAGATGTAGAACATTTCCACTGAGCACGTTACTCCTGTATGATGGTGCACTTAAAGATCACAAATTTTAATGTTTTTATTATGTCATGAAATGTAATTCTACTTTCTTTGTCCTGTCTTTATTCTGAATGAGCAGCATGCTCTAAAATGAAGAGTGTGTACATTTTTTTAATTTGGGGTGATATATTAATATATATTGGTTTGTTTTCTCATTTAAAAGCAATTTTTGAACAGAAATTTGCATTTGTTTCAAAAGCCCAAATAAGTCAAATGGCTTTGATTTCTTTTCATGTTGAAATATTAAATCTTGAGTTATGACCTTAAAAATCTTTGTGGTGTTCAGCAGATCAAATTTTTGTTTTGGGGGCAACAGGGCATATTTGCAGTTTTATTTGTTAAATCTCTCATTTCCCTTTTATATCCATGCTTTAAAGCAACTAGAGTGCTGTAGCTACAACATAACTTATCCATTAGCATGTTCCTACTACATCATACTTTGACACTACTACCTGAGGATTTTGTAGGTTTATAACTTTGGTTTGCACATGTTTACTTTTATTCGAGGTGTTACTTGAATATATGTCTTTTAGTGCAGAGGGCACTATTTGAATCCTAGATACAAAACTGAAGCTCTAAAATACAATACAGTGTAATTATTAAATAAACTTTACAAATAATGGGAGTTATAAACTGAGTCGTGTACATAAGGGGGAAAATAAGGTACGTGATAAAATGCTAGTTAGAGCAAAGTGAAGCTCTTCCATTGCAGTCTTCTCAATTCTCCCCCACCAATAATTTTTAAATAGGCTGCTGCAACTTTGTAAATTTTGTTAGATAGCTGGTTGCGTGTAAATAACTAAAGGCTTTATGATTTCTAAAGTGCTAAGTATTAAACACTATTATGAGTGTAATTTTTCTGTTACCATGCTTTTCATGCTTGTGCTTTATTTCTCACTGTTTGATATTATATACCATATTTATTTTATGAAGCACTGAAATTTAATAAAAAGCATTAACTGATTTCCTTTTTTATTTCATGTGTACGTTTTGTTGCAACATCCTGTCAAAGAACTAATCAGAAGCTTTAAAGATGTGCTATTCTATGTTTACATATAGATGAAGATTCTTATAAAGCAGAAGTTGCTATAGTTATTGGCATAGTATCATCCTCTTGACCTTTTTCTAAACAATAACATTTGGCCAAAATCATATAGGGGCTTCCAGCAAAGCATAGAACAGTTTTTTTTAAAAATTCATACTCGTATGTTTCATTCAAAGCACTTTGTAAATTAGTTTAAGTATTTTATCACAGTTTACGTATAGAAAAACTAAGACACAGACGCTGAAGTTACACAGTGAGTCAGTGACAAAGCTAGAAATGAAATCCCAGGTCTCCTGTCTGAGTCTTGTCCCCTGTCTACTGGACCTTGTTGCTTCCCCAAGTCATTTAGTTTCTTTTAGCATCGTACAGAATTTCAAAAGCACTAACATTTTCCCAAACTGGGTATCAGTGTTAATCTGTGAGATTATTTTGAGGCACCAGTTATGGCTCCATGGGTAAGGTTGAATTCACCCTCTATTTTGTGTAAAGCATATCTCTCCCTCCCCCCCCCCAAACCACAGCCCTTATTCTTTGGGCATAGAATGAATTTTCTGAGACTGTACAGTAAATCCATTAGTTTAGGAGTTTAAATTAATTTTAAAATGGGTTCTTTCAGAAATTTAGCATTCATTGTCCCACCTTTTTGTTCCTCATTATCTTAACAGAATAACGCAAACTCCTGTTCATTGAAGAAATTCTTTTTAGGTTTAATGACAATTTTCCCCATTCTTGTTCATACCTCAAAGTTTCTTCTTCAGCAGAGATGGAAAAATAATCTTCAGAGAATTCCGTGAAGAACTGCCCTCCTTCAGAATGGCTGTCATCTCCTATTATTCTCAGTGAGACTGAGACTTTCATTAAGAGTTTGTGCCCCTTTGTCCATAGGTGTTTGCCACTGACATTAGTGGGAGTAACTTCAGAGCCATAAACTTAGTTATGATGCTTTCAGTTTAAGTACTCCCCCCCCGCCCCCCAGGAGTGGTAAAGCATGCAATAGCTGTCTCCAAAAAAACAATCTATTTTTCACCAAATTTTAAAAGAAGCTAACACCTAAAATAGGACAATGTTTAATGCCTGTTTTGTAAGTGTCTTCTAAGTTTAGGTTGCACCTTTCCTACTTTCTCACATTTGCATTGAGCCAGGAAAGCTTGGAGATGCAATGGTCTAGACTCGTTTTTGTTTTGTTTTTGTTTCTGCATCTCTGTGATGCAGCCACTGTCCTGAAGGTTCCTCCCAGACCTATATTTACATCTAGTTTTGTCAAAATGTGCTGATAAAAGTATGGACCCTTAGACTCACTAAAATATGCACTATACACTGATAAAACACGGAAAACTGCATTGTTCAAATGACAAAAGTGGTCACCTATTTGAAAAGATTTAAGCTTCAATCTTGTCCCTAAAATAATTTTAAATAGCTTCTAATTGGATTTCCGACTTTCAGTTTAATATCCATACTTGTCAATTTGCATTGGGCCTGGGTTGGGTGAAGAAGAGAGTAGGTACTATAAAATAACTTAAAACTACAGCCCACTTGTATTTTTGGTTAATATAATGCAGTACAGGTTGAAATAATTCTTTGAAAATACATACTTAGTCTTGCAGTTTTGTAAACAATAGGAATGTACATCTTTAAAGTGTTAATTTTTTCATGCCTTGATTTCTTTTTCAAACTTTAACATTGGTGCATTATGCATTTGCATATACTGTCACATTTGTAGTTGATGTTTTATGGTTATCCCATTTCCATAATGCATTTCCGGTACAATAAGAGTTTACTGCAGAATAACTGCAGCAGTGAAAATATTGGTGTATAATTTTGAGAAATTTAGCATACAATATAGTCTAATGACACATTAGACAGCAGAGTGATGAAGTGTACAAGCTGGAAGTTCAGAATAATTTTTTTTAACATTGACATCATGTAACTCAGAGTGTCTGTTCCTCAGATCTTTTGGGAGCTCTTGCCTTCCAGGGACGATGATTCTGGAAATACAGTAATCCAAGAATGCTCTGAATAACTTCCTGGGATTTAAATTATCCATTCATTTCCATTTGCAGTGGGTTTCAGCTTCATAATCCCAGCTTTCCCTGTCCCTCTAAGTAGCCATTTTGAAACTCTAATAATCTATGGCCAGTACCCAAAAGATGTTTAATACAAAAAAAAACGCACCACCCTTCACCCCTAACTACTACCCTGAGAATATAGCATCCATGGTACTTCCTTGCCATAGGACCAAGCACACATCTCTGCATCTCAGTTTCATATCTGATTTTTCTGATACCATCACCGCATGGCTGCATGCTGAACTGCCAGCCAATCATCCAGTTCAACAGCCTTCAACAATTTAAGATAACTTAATTTTTAATGCATACTTCAGCAGTCTTGTGAAACATAAATAGGTTTATGGTCTGGTTGAAGATGAGAAGGAGAAATTGCTGTGTGAAGGTACTGTATCTGCATTGTACGGTTAAGAAGGCAATGAATAGGTAAATTACAAGACAAAAGGAGGGACACAAATTAAAAAAAAAGGCTTAAATGTTTTGTCTATTAACATCAAGACCTTGTCATTAGATGCGTAAAACTAATATGAAGGTGACTTGCAAAGGAGTTTTTAGAAGATTGACTTGCTGCTTTATAATATACAGAAAGCCTGAAAGACTTTCATTTAAAGTTGCTTTTTCTGCTTCTGATGAGCGGACATTTTTATACACTTTTCATGAGAACTGTTTGAAGTGACTTAATTTGTGTAGTTGAGTACTGCTGTGGGGTATAAAAATTACATCTCTTCTATGTTAATCCCAAAAGGAGTTAAGCTCTTCCTTATGTTATGCTTTTGGTGCAAATCTACCTCCGAATGTTTGCTTGTGTTCACGAGCTACAGTGAACTTTGGTTAACTATACAAAGATTTTTTTCTTCAAAATGAATAATGGTTAACAAACCAACTGATGCCAAATGGGTTCTTTTCATACTACACCTTTCTAATGAGCTGTTTAAAACTTCAGTGGATTAGAAGAATAGACATGGTTACTATATTATACCATGAAATGGTTAAATATTATTGCCAGTGTGACAGAACCATGGAGATACCATGCAGATACACACTACTGGTCATCCATGTGACTGCACTTTTAGCCCACCACTGTGGTACCCGAGGGAAAGTAAGAAATGAAGATAATCTAACAGGTCTTGGCTTGTCTTTTGACAGAAAAATACCACATGCATTCTTATGCTTTTTTATCACATGCAAGCTCTCAGGCAAAAGTTATTAGCGTTCCAACAAGCAAAAGTTGACCAGACCTTTTTAAATGAAAGGAAGAATTTGTACATCATGAAATGTAAGTAAATTCCTCATCCTACATTTAAAATTTTGCACTATAAACTTAAAGCAGCATTCAAATAAGGGACTGTCATACTAGATATACGTCCTGGTAAAATGTTGGAATAGCGGACTCTGAATCAAACTCAGCAAGAAGTGCCTAGTGAACTCAATACTGTAAAGCTTTCTTGGTATTATTCTATGAAACCAAACGTTTGGTTCTACAAGCAAAGGGTTTGGAGTTTGCCTTAAATATAAGCCAGGATATTTTAAGTCTTCATCCTTTTTATGGTAAAAGTATTTAAAGAATTTTGAACTAGGTTCTGCTGAATTTCTTAACCCATTAAGTCTGCAAAAACTTTAAAACAAAGCAAAAGTATCAGCTTGTTTCCTGGGGGATTATGTAGGTAGGTAATCAGTTATATAAGTGTGTCTTAATTTTAAAAAAATTGAAATATTTCCTTCATGATTTTGTTTAAGCATATGTGTCTTTGCAGTGATTTTTGAGCTTATTTTGATTTGGGGACTGATGAAGACTTCAAGATTCCAGTGTGTGCTAGAAAAGGAGTATTTCTGCTCTTCCATTCCAAACGGTAAGTTAGAGGTTTGTATCTTGATTACTGAGAAGGTGAAAGTCACTCCAAAAATTTATACTTGTGCTGCAATGTTTACTGCTTAAAATTTCTTGGAGAGGAAGGTGTTTCACTCCTAATTTATGTTCTGGACTCAAAAGTTGATATGTTATTTATCAGCTTGAGTTTATTTGATTAGTTTAATAGTGATGAGGTGGGATATGCTCCTGGGTCCTAATATATAAATGTCTGGTCACAGTATGATTGCGCATAGTTCTGGATGGAATTTTTTGTTCAAGAAACTTAATAGGAAAAAAAGTGAATAATAGTATTTTTTTTAAGTTAATAATCTGTATTGCACCTTAGCCTATATTTGAGTTATTTTACTTCTGAATTAATTCATACCATTATATCTTTACAATATTTCAAAAGAAACCCACTGATTGCCTTATGTTCTATTTAATTTGCTTTCGAACTTGTTACTGCTACTTGAGGAAAGATAACTTGTGCACAGTTAACAAATCAGTGATTAGAAGTTAGTACAATATGTAAGCACATAATGTAATTTTTTGCGCGTGAGAACTAGGTATATATAGCACAGGTCATTTGAAATTAGTGCCGACAAACTTTGTAGTATACATACTGTTGTGCTATCTATATGCCACATTTTATGGAAAATATTTTACAAACATTTTAGGACCTGATGCAAAGACCACTAAGGTGAATTGGAATCTTTCCATGATTTCACTGGCACTATCTCTTCTACCTCTCCACCTTGTAAAGCCAGTTGCCTTAGTTACTAAACATCTAACTGCAGAATACTCGGAGAACAATTAAATAAAAAATTTAAAACAATAATAAAAATAATCCAGAATGATTTTTCTGTACATAAAAATGACCTGACTTTTAAAGACTAATCTCAGGGTCCAGGTTTAGAAGCAAGTATTGTGTCCTGTTAGAAGAAGCTGGGAAACTCCCCTTTCCAGCAGTCTAAACCTCTGTCAACATCTCTACAGTGTGGTAATATCAGACTTTAAACTGGTTGTTGGTTCAGAACTGAACATTGCCAGTCCTAAATCTCAAACCAGTGTAATTTTGTTTGTTTAGCTAGTGGGAATGGAAATAAAAAAGTGACTGAAGCTGCTAAGAGGTTTGGGATGTTAGAATAAGTTTCTATTGGATATATCAATGCCAAGAGGGCAGATGAGTTGGTCAGAGAAAGATAAATATAGTTTATTACATGGTTTTGCAATTTATCACATGGATATCGCTGATATTTTACTATAATTGTTGAGTAAGAGGAACATGTAGCCTTCGTTTTCCAACTCCTGAAGTTTTTGTCCTGTGAAAGCTTTCCCTTTATTTATAGATAGTTCTAAAATAAATATTTTATTCTCATCAAAAGGATTTAAATTTTTCAAATATGTACCACTTTTAGGATCAAATTAGGGTTTCTTCACTCATCCTCATTTAAAATCTTGAAGAGGGGGAAAAATATTAACTGGTATTAGTCCTTGGGTATTCAAGCACATTTTTCTGTTTTATTCCCTAGATTTTCCAGAAGGCCTGACATCTGTTCTATTTGTTGTAACGAAGATTGGGGTTATCAACTCAAGTGTCTTCAACAGCCCAAACTTGAAATCTGTCACCAGTCTAGCTCTAGCAAACAGTGGCATCACAAGAATTGAACCTGGAGCCTTTTATGCTTTCCATAGTCTCACCAAACTCAGTTTATATCAAAATAATCTGACTACAGTTATGGCTTCTTGGCTTTCCAAACCAGGACACTTAGAAAACCTTACAATGTCTCAGAACGTCATTCAGGAAATAGGCCCCCATATGTTGTCCAGTTTCTCTAACCTGACAACCCTTAATTTAGCTAGCAACAGAATTCATATGATTGCGGGTGGAAGTTTGAAGAATTTGTCTAAGCTAACTTTTATTGATCTATCTGGTAATAACTTATCTACCTTAACAAGAAATGTGTTCAGTGGGCTGATGTCTCCAATAATGAAACTGGGAGACAATCCATGGAACTGTTCCTGTGAACTTGAAGATTTTGGATTTTTTTTGCAAGGTAATGTAAAGCATAATTTCAATCGCCCAGAACACTTGGGCAACTCCAAATACATTCAGATAACTGGGAGTCTGTAGCCAGATAGCTCATGCAAGTGTGAAACTTGTTAGAAGTACTTTAGAATGTAAGGTCTGGCTCGTAGAGATTTGGGTGTTCAGGATTTCACTGTATTTATAATAATTTGATACACATTAAATTGTTACTGTAAATTATTTCCTTACTGTATTATTATTTATAGTACTAAGTATCAAAGTTGGGGCTACATTCTGTCGGGCATTGTACTATTTCTAAGCATGTCCCCTATACTAATGATTTATTTTTAAAGGGTAGGAGGAATAGTCCCATGATCCAAGATCATACCATGAAAACATAACAAAATTGAGAGAGAGAGAGAGATCTGAATTGCATAGTGATGGTAATTTCTTGCATAGTGTCAGAAGTATGTAAAAGGGGGCTTGTGAGAAACTGGTAGTATAATATTGGGTCAGCGTGTGGAACAGAAGATGGCATTTTCAATGAAAGTTGAATCAATTGACGAAAATACTGTACACAGTTAAAATATTACCTTCTTTCAGTTATTTCATACACTATTCCAGACCTTCTGATTACTGGTTCTTCTTGGCCAACAGCTGAGGCACAAAATTCTTAAATGTTTGGATGGACCTCATCAGCAAACACTCTAGTGTTCTAATAGTTCATCTGAATCATGTCTAATGCAGGTGGAAATAGTGTAGTGGACAACAACAGAAACAATGCGTTGTATCATAGAAATTCGAGATGGGAAAGACTTACTAGGTGATCTAGCAAAAAGAACAGGAGTACGTGTGGCACCTTAGAGACTAGGAGTACTTGTGGCCTAGACCATCCCCCTCTGTCAGTGAAGGATTATTTCCTTATGATATACTTAAGATCAAAATCAGAGGCCAAAATGTTAAAACTTGAGTGCATAAAGTTAGGTACCTGAATCATATTTAGCCCCTTAAATAAGTGGCCTGGTTTTCAAAGGTGCTAAGCACCTGCAGCCCTGTGGATACTTTAGCAAGCAATGGTGAGAGCCCGGGATCTTAAGTAGTCACAGGTTAGTCATGCGCTATTTGTTTTTACAGAGCTGATGAATACTTCTGTGTTGGAAGATGCTTCATCTGTGGTGTGTCAGAGCCCACAAGCCCTGAAGGGTATTCCAGTTTGGAACATCTCTGACTTTAACTGCCCGCCTATTCTCATATCACCATCACTTGAGAATGACTTCTATAAAGTTGGATTGCCAGCGATGCTTCTATGTTTAGGTGTGTTACAATACAATTTTCAGCATCTTATTTCATACTGTGAAATGAATTTCAAATACAGGCTCTTGAAAGCATCCTTGCCCCCCAATTACAGCAAGGGGTTACGCCCACATTCTGTGCACCTCTTTTCAAGAAAGAGGTTGCCTTGTTCAATGGAATGTTAATATGCAAGACAAACCCTGAAAACAGTCACAATTCCATTGCAGAAATAATGACAGGGTTTTTTTTTAATTTCCTTGCCTGTTCATAAAAAATAATTACTTTCAAATGTACTTTGAATGTATTTCAGTACTTAATGCTGTAATATATACATTACTAGTATACTTAATGTAGTATAAGGGTACTTATCAAGTAAGAACTGTATTATTCCAGAAACAGATAGTTTGGGTAATACTAAGCCATTCGCCATATTACCCAGAGAGATAATGAATAAAGCATATTTATTATTCCAAATAAAAAGAGGCTGGAGGAAGTTTTTATAATGAAACCTGCTGCAGGTGCAACTTAATATTTAATATATTGTGTAAGTTAAAAAGAACATGCAAATAACCACCTGGAAGATTGGTTCAATAGAGGATGTGCATAAAAGCAGAATTTTATGTTTAAAATAAAGTTTAAAAAATGCAAATTTTGGTGGGGGAAACTTACAAAAATAATATTTCTTTGCTTTAGATTATTAGCTTTGGAGAAACCGTTCCATTTGTATTAATACAAATGGATGTACAATAAAACACAAAAACATTCTCAGTAAGTTTTCTTTCAGTTTTGCCACTAAATCAGTGTGTGTATTTATAAGCCATATCAATACCATCCTTTCTCAATCGGTAATGAATTGAGTATACAATTCAGCTCTGTCTTTAGGAATTTTTTTGTCCTTTCCACAAATTCTCCACTAATTTTTATTTGATTTTCTTTGAAAATTGTAACGCCCCTCAGTTTTGGTGAATTTTAAAATGATTTGTTTGAACTATTTTTGCAGTGTTATTTTCATTTCTTTTGCTGCTTCTCCTGCTCTGGAAGGTGAAACAAGGTAAAAAGCAAGTGCAGCCAGGTAAAGAAGCTACTGTTGAAAATAGCCATGACAAACTAACAGGCCACCTTAACAAGATGACAGAGAGACTGAGGCGCAGAGGACTGTCGGATGAAAAGGGACAGACAACAGTGAAAATTGACAAAACCCTACAAAATAGAATGCAGAAAACTCGTGCAAAATCTGCCTCGCCAATTCTGTTGAGAACTGAGTTTCAACACAGTAGTTCTCAACACCATAGACCAACTGATGGGAACCAGGAACAACCCAAAACCTCTTGTACAGTAATAAATGAACAAGCCTGCATGAAAAATGAAGACTGCAACAATGTTATGGAACTGTGGTATTTTAATAGCTTGAAAGATTGCAATAAAAAGGCTATGCGTACTCACAATGCAAACACTTCACCAACTGAACTATGCATAGAAATCCCGAAAAAGGATAGTTCAGAAATATTAAAGCAGTCATTGCAGGACCATGGAATTTCAGAAGTGTGTTGGAATGATGAAATTAAAGGAAGGGGTAATACGGAGAACGCTGAACCTCTGTTGTATTTAAGTGTTGCTAGTACAACTGAAGAGTCACCTAGTGTACCTGGCACTGAACAAAAAGATGCTGTGAGTAGAAATGTAAATACGAGGCTGTGTTCTTTGAGAAGAGTTCTTACTTGGCCATATGAAAAATGCAAAAGGGACGAAAGCCAAAACACTTTAAATTCAGAGGATTTTTTCAAGGCACGTTTCTGTATGCTCACCAGTGATCCTGGTGTCTCAGCAGCAGTCAGAAAAACAGAATTCAAAGATGAACAAAATCAGTATAATCTTCATCTACATACTGTAAAGGAACAAAAGGCAATTCATGATTACAGCAGCAGTAAACCTAACTTAAAGAGAGAAGCAAAACCAGCAAACAAATTAGTATCTCCACTTAAGAAAGGACCTAATCAAATAGCCAAAATGGAAAATGCATGCATGTCAGTGCCTGGGAAAGGATTCAGAGGCTCTGAGACTGTAAAAAAGAATAAGAATAACAAAGATATACCTTCGCAGTCTGGATTCTGCAATGACAGTCTTCACTCGCCAGCATCCTCAGACAAATCTGGTCACACCTCCTCCCCATGTGATAATACATTACTCGAAAATAATGAATACACCTTCATTGATCTTTTGCATGAAGTCGTGGAAAATCGTGGGAGGTGGACCAGGCAGAGGTGGAAGCAGACCCATCAAGTGCGAATTGCTAGCCACCCGCCAATGAAATCAAAGTAAATTAATTGCACTCTGTCAAAAAATGTTCCATGTGCTATAGGCTGCCTGTTTTAACCAAAATTGTTGTTGTTATAACATTTCATTAGTGGTGACACATGCCAGACTTGACAGTACTGGAAGCTAAAATCCTCTATTCTAGATACTTCAGGAGCAATGCAAACTGCACCATATTGCACTTCCAGAATGCCTTAACCATATTTTGAAAAAGCAACTTCTAAGGATGAGAGGGGACTTTTCTCCATGGCCCAGTCAATTCGTGGTGCCAAAAAGGGTGACACATGTCATGAAGGTTTTTTGTGATGTGATCATTTATTTACAGGGAGCTTGACTCAGACCCACCAAACTCATTTCATCTAGGCAACCAAACAGCTTTCAGATGAGTCATGAGTTTTGATCAGTAATCATCTAGGGTAAATTTTCCAAAAATACCCAAGAGATTTGCATACTGAAGTCCCATTGAAAGTAGATATGACTTGGGTACCTAAGTTACTTAGCACTTTTGAAAATTTTATCTCTAGGCTGGTTTTAAACCAGGTATGTAGAAGACTCCAAATCCCATTACTCACCCCCCTGAAATAACCCATATCATTACTGGTTTTGATTCAAGCATTCCACTAAGTAGGCAAATTTATTAATTATCCCTAGAATTTTCCAGCTGCCTAGAAACGGATAGTTCATGGAGTATGGAGCCTTTCAGCTCTGGATATTGATTTGCTCTACTCATTGGCAGAGACCATTAGTATCCAGGGTTATCAATCTGGCATATTCATGAGCATCTAAAATTAATGTAAAATTTTCAATTTACTTGCACAAAATATGAAATGTTAACGTGTATCATGTCATAATGGGTTATACCCCCTTAAATGGATTGCTAATTGTGCGTGCACGCTCTCTCTCTCATATATATATATATATACTATTTTTTTCTTATTAGTAATAAGTCTTTTTGGTAGGTTTTACACACTGTATTTTCAATTAATAATTTATATTATGGCTAATAAACCATGTAACTAGAAATGTTTGTCTACAGTGAGCCATTATCTATGGCTGATCTTCTGTAACATTAGATCTTGTTCCACAATCTCTCATGGATTTTCATGTAAGTGAGAACTGCTTGTTGTTAGTCTGTTTGCAATTACATCCAACAGACACCTGTGCTCCATTTTTATGCCTATATTTGCTCTGATTTAGGGCTGATGGCAAATCACAAAGAATTTATTCTGCTTGTTTGGATTTGTTTAGAAATATTGTAATTCCTTCTTGTTATACAACTGGCACCTGTCTCTTCTCTCCCCCCCCCCTTTTTTTTTTGTGTGGAGTAAGGATTTTGCTGAGGGTAGATTTAAAGCAGGGGTTCTCAAACTGGGAGTCGGGACACCTCAGGGGGTCACAAGGTTATTACATGGGGGGTCACAAGCAGTCAGCCTCCACCCCAAACCCCGCTTTGCCCCAGCATTTATAATGATGTTTAAATATATAAAAAGTGTTTTTAATTTATGGGGGGGGGTCGCACTCGGAGGCTTGCTATGTGAAAGGGGTCACCAGGACAGAAGTTTGAGAACCACTGATTTAAAGTAAAGATGTTCTGCTGTTAGGCTCACAAATACCATTCACTCACTTAATGAAAAGAGACTGATGAATTTATTTAATAAACATTATTTCTGTCGTACTTGAAATTTTAATGTAAATTCAGTTTTTTGTAATCTTCTCGAATGTGAATTTAATACAAAAAACATGGGAACCACCTTTTGCATGCTGCTTACATGATCCCAAATGTAAAATGCATCCTTGTACAAACAGTTTATTCATAATGTAAAAGCATTAACTTCCACCAGTACTTATTAAATATGGGTAAATTCTAGTTGTAAACATCTCTTTCTCACGGCAGGAGTTTTCCTGTGCTGTTGGTTATGGATGAAGTGTGGAGTATCAGCTCTGCGTTTTTGTATTGTGTTTTTTCTAATTCTTTTAAAATGTTACCACTAAGCTTCTTTAATGTTAGTTTTGTAACAGTCTTATTAATTCAGGAGATGACCTGTTTGAACCTGCCTCGTGTTTTGTTAATCTGTAATGAATCTTAACATGCATGACTGGCCCAATTAGTGAACCATGTTTTCATGAAGCATAAATACTCTGACAAGTGACAGCTTATTGTACTCCAAGCTGACATTTTTAACAGAAAAGTCCAATGCGTTTCTGAGGATGAATTGTAAGTTCCAACTTTTATTAATTCTAGCAACAAACATTTGGATTTAAATTGTACTAGGTATTCAGTGGGAAACTAGACTTGTCAGAAATCAAATATGGCATAAATATTTTCAGGCAGTGGTCAAAATGTATTTAGGCACAATTTTTGTAAAGTAATAAAATATTAAATGAGAAAGTAATGCTCTTGTGTATAAATGGTGTGTCATATGAACTGAAATGATCAGGAAGAAAAAACATTGAAATATTATTGTAAAATGTGAACTCAGAAGTAATCCAAAAGGTTGCATGTCCTATTTATGGAAATATTGTAATTGCAGTGAATTCATTCTTGAGTTTCCCAGGTATTTTAGGTAGGAAAAATCTCTTCACCCCATTCAGGAAAGGCATTCCTATTAGTCATAGAAGGGGTATATATATATTTTTAAAGTAGGATGTACAATTCAATGCACAATTACTGTGCTAATGCTTGTAATCTGGATAATTGTGCACATAAAACATAATGTATCCTTTTATTTGTGGAGTTGTAGTAACTGTCTATTCAAATTAGGCATTCAATTGCCAGCCCAACTTTTTAAAAGTTAGGTTGAGAGTGTAATCAGTTTTTTTTAATGAAAGAATATATACGTTTTCTGCTGCCTGAAACTGAAATCTACTTTCCACAAGACACTTTTGCCTCTTCCTTTATAGTCACCCAAAATTACTACAGTAAAGTAAATATCAGAATCAGCCTTCCTCAGAAAAATACACTGAAGATTAGAAATATTTTCAAAGGTGTGTGCATCTAACTAGTTGTTTGGGGGCAGGGGGGGGGGGGAAGTGCAAGTATTAAACCTGACCCTAGCATTTTTTTTTGTATTTGCTAATAATAGGGTCATATTTTTACTTGTAATATTTTTGAGTAAGTTAAAAGATGAGTTTATAACCAGTGCAAATAAATCCCATGCCTGGCCTTAATCTAATATGTAGTCAGGTTATACAACACAAATGCAATTGTTTATGTTCTCAGATGCTCAGAAAATGCCAGCAGTATGCTTTGGGAAGAACATTAATTGGCAGAATTTATATAGGCCAAGATATCTGCTGGAACAGGGAATGGTTGGTGATATAGAAAACAATTCAGGAAATAAGTTAACAAAATAACATATTTAAATACAGCATCTAAATATTTTCATGTTTAGTGATATGGTATCTGAATGTTTTCTACATCAAATGAGAAAATAACAGATTTTTCAAGAAAAATGATGTAATATTACAATATATACAATCCCCATTTATGATACATGGCAGCTGCGGTCCACACAGAGATTGGCCAATTATATAGTGCTCTTTTCCATTTTACTAGCTGTTACATTGCCTCAAGAGAGCTAAAAATACCTGAAATATTTCCTTAATATTGATTTTTCCACATAAGCAATTATTGTGGTTGCCATGGGGAAGTTATGAGATGGTGAATGGAATGACAAATGGGGTGAGGTGGTGGTCTGCAAGGCAACTGCTCTAGTAAGATACGGTGCACACTATAAAATAATAAAACCGCTGCTCTGTGGGCGCATCAGTTAATAACCTGCCTATGAAGAGTGGCTGAATGAATAAATACCATATGGTGTTCTACAATATGAATGCAGAAAGTTTCCTAGAAACAATCACCATCTAACTCGTATTATCACAATGTGTCAGTCAGTAGTGTGTATTGCACTTAATGTTGCAGTAAGTTGTGCTAATTTCAGAGCAATGTTAAAAAGAACCTTTGTTTTTAAATTTTCAATAGCCAAGGGCCCTTTTTAATTAAATTACTTTTTTAAGCAGTAATTGGTATTAAGGGAGACTAAAACATTGTTACAGTGAAATGAAAAGATGACATGTACTACTCTTGGTACATAGCCTATTTATCTATAGTATCCCAATAGATACAGAGCAACTATAGGAAGTAAGTCAGAATACTGCAGGTTTAAGACGATCTTCAAAAAGAACTTTTTCTAGAATATGTGTGTTTGTGTTTGTAACTGGATTTTGTGTGTGTAAATAGGTATTTTGGCTCTTGTTAGTTTTCTTCTGCTGATTTTCCTGGAAGTAGCCCAGTCTTGTCCTCCAATCTGTAAATACTGCTCCACAGGGCTAGCAGAATGTGAGCATGTCTCGTCGCTTCAGGAAGGTAAGCCTTTATCCCTCTCCTGGGCTCCCGTTGCTGCCAATTCATGGACAAGAATAGTAGTTAGTGGAATTTTAAAATTACATGTTGCTATTGAACAGTGGTGTTTTATATTTATAAGAAGAAGAACAGGAGTACTTGTGGCACCTTAGAGACTAACTGAATTTGTTAGTCTCTAAGGTGCCACAAGTACTCCTGTTCTTCTTTTTGCGGATACAGACTAACACGGCTGCTACTCTGAAACCTATATTTATAAGAAATAAGTCTAAAAGTAAAAATATATTCACTTGAAAAACTATAAAAAGGAAAAAGCAATTGCCATATGAAAGAGACATTATCCAGTCCAGGTTGCGATGGGACCTATGAATACAGTAGTAGGCCATATGCCAAGTACAAAAGGATGGATATTTAGGAGAGCAGCACAGCAAGGTCGGTCTCTGAGTAGATCAGTTTCAGTCATTATGGTCTGATCCTCAGCTGTAGCCCTTTGTACTTGCCCAATGCAGTCTCATCCCAGGGCTGGTACCCAACTTAAATTACAGCCGCCTCTTGTCTTCCCGCACTTTAATTCCCAACACCTTTTTTGTACCTCAGTCTTACCAGGTTTGCCAAACTCCACAGAGAAAATACTCTTACGGCACGGAAACCTCAGCAAGATACTGCCACTGTCTTTTCAGAACTTCCCCAGGCTTCATTTGCTCTCCATAACTGGATTTCTGTTCTCTTCACTTCCAAACCTGACCTTTGGCGCAAAGGATGTCAGCAGCCTGAGGAGTTTGGATCTCAGCAGTAACTGCCTGCTGAGCTGTGGGATTGAGCCTTTGGCTTTCTCTGGCTTGGGAATCCTCGAGGAGTTGATTCTTACAAACAATGCCTTGGATACGCTGAAAAGTTCTTGGTTCTTAGAGATGGCTCTGCTCACCAAACTCCTCCTTTCTGACAACAAAATTACATATCTTCCTCCAAGGACTTTTGAGAATTTGACTAAGCTGAACGAACTCATTGTGTCTTCCAATTTCATTCAGTATCTTTCCATGGACACGTTTTATGGGCTAGCATCATTGACCAAACTGGACTTATCAAGCAATGAAATCCTGTTTATTAATAATGATGTTTTCCAGCCTTTGCAGGCCCTGACGCATCTGTGGTTGTTTAAGAATAAGCTGACTGCGCTGGCCAGCATTCCAGACTCTCTTACCTCCTTGTCTCTTAATGAAAATCCTTGGATCTGTGACTGTCCTCTGGTGAGCTCCATGCAGTTACTGAAAGACAAAGTTCAGACACCCAATGGCCTGGTTTGCAATAGTCCGCCGAGCCTGAGGGGACGCCATATGTTGAGTGTCGGGCCTGAAGTCTGTGCTTATCCAACTCATGCAGGAAATCTACCACAGGAAAGCACTTCAAAATTGAACTCGCTGTATGGCTTCACAGGTAAACTCTAGCAATGCAACATAGGCTGGAAGCTGTTTGTCTGCATTGTTCATAGTTCACATTACTCCAAAGGTGTAAAATATTAAAAATCTTCCATTTTTATTTGCTTAGCCTGCTTTCTCATAAGCACCCAGTTGGCAGGCCTTGGGCAGGAGAGCCCCAAGCCAGGAATGGGATGCATTGTAGAACAGCAGGGAAGGGGAACTAATGGCTTGGAAGGGGATGATGCAGATCCTTAGTGAAAGTTCAGGGGTGTGGATGGATTATCAAGTGGTGCTGCAGAGCAGATGCTTTGACAGAGCTGTGTGGTGGAAAACTTGCATGGAATCTGCCTGTATCATGCTTGGTACTTGGTGCTTAATCGTAATAATAGTATCCATAAGTTTACATATAACTTAAAAAATAAAGCCATGAACGTGGTCTGACTCTCATCCTGTCTCCTGCAGGAGGACTTTTCTTTAGTTTCATCATGTGCCTGATAGTCTATTTCATCACAAAACACTGGAAATATAGCAGAGTTACTAATCAGGCAGAGGATGGACCCGTCTTACAGAAGGACTCTGTGAAAGAGTTCCCAAGAAGCGTGACCGATGTCCCTTCAGTATCCCCACTTCCCCATAACTGTGTGATAAAAGCAAATAGGACAAGGGGCTTTCAGAAGGAAAGTGAAGCAGACACAATAGAAAAAGCACTGTGTGACCATTTGAAGAACATGTTCCAATCCAGCAGAGAACATTCAGAAACAAGCTCCCCAGTGAAGATGCCTGGAGTGGCCTTGCTGCCGACTCACAGTCCCACAAGTAAACAGATCATGACGATCTGTAAAGATGGAATGGAAATTGGAAGATTAACTGACCATCCAGACAAAGCCACAAGCCCAGCACTCCCGCAAGTGGGCAACAAAAATGTGGAGAGAGCCGCTGAAATTCCCAGATGTGTCAGTGCACCAGGCTTATTTCCTAATGTGGAGAAACAACCTTCTCCAAAAAGGGACCTTGGTTTGCATTTCTCATCGTCGAGCCATGAAAAAACAATCCCGATGAGGGAGTGGATGGAGAATGGGGAACCTGGTAAGTTCAAATAAAGAGCAACGATGATTACTCAGAAATGGTGGTGAGGTTTGTAGGGTGGGAAGGTTGGGTGTTGGTCACTTTGGAACGGGAAGAGGATAGGTAGCAATAGCTTTCATGTGTGTATTTTGCAATAGTAGCCATTGCTGAGAGGCCCAGTGCTCTGCAGGGTCTCCAGGGGCCTGCTGCTGAACGAGGTGGCCCATTGTAATGGAGACTGCTGCAGGGAATCTGCTACAACAGCAGAACCAGCAAGAATCCTCAGTGATGGCTACTGTAGAATGGGAATATTGATTCACTGAGCATTGTCCTCCCTCAGGATTTGTATATTTCCCTAGACAGTATTATAGCTCCACTGGTGAGGCATTCCTGGAAGAAAATTTTTCCCTTTTAGAATTATGTCCTTTATTTAAAAGAACATGACCTTTTATAAATAAATAATTAAAATATTGCATGGCAGACACATACTTAAATCCCTATAACGAATCTAATGTGCTTTCTGCATTTAGTTCCTGGGCTCCATTTCCCGTTCAAGTGTGTGTGGGGGGAGGGGCGCGGGGGAGGGTGTGTGTGTGCATGTGCTCAGTCTACACACTTGTGAAGAAAAGCCTTTTCATCAGTATGTTGGGGTGTTTTTGTATTTGTGTTATCGCTTAGTGGAGAGAAGTGAGATTTGTGCATATGATTAAAATATGTATTTACAATGTAGATAACTGCAGTATGTCAACTTTGTTCCCTCTGTTTTACAGCCTTGGTGAAATATTTTGAAACCCAGTGGGAAGAGCGGGCTTTGAGTCCCGTTACCTGGCTTTCTGGTTCTCAATGTTCCCGGACTTTGGTAAATGTAGTTTCTCCAGCAGGAAGTGCTACACATATACAAACAGGCAGAGACCGAATTCATACCACCTCTAACAAGAGAAGTAAATCCTGGAGCCCCTTTCACTTCAACATCTCCAGTCATTTAACAGAGGCTCATGAAGATGGTGCATCTAGAAGAAATGCTGAGAATGGATTTGAGGCCAACTTGGTGCATTCAAGAAGAGACAAAGACTGCGAGACTTTATGTCAAGAACATTTTATAAAGAGTGAGTCCACAGATACTACTGAGGACAGATCCAAAGATAAAGGAATAAAAGAACCAGACTTGCAGAAAGACATCTATCTTAACAACCGTTGCATTGCACAAAGTGAAAGCAACTATCAGAGAGAGACTACGAACACAGGGGATGTCAACCTCACTCCAGAACCTGAAGCACCAGCCAACTCCCCACTTTCAGATTTAGCCAGCCCTAGAGAACATGCTGGTGCCAGCAACCCAGATAATAAAGGCATCAAGCCTGCAGTGGAGGGAAAATTAGTTAGCCCCTTTCTTGGGAAAGAAGGTATCCATCCCCCATCTTTCTGTAATAATGATGGATTGGGAGAAGAGAGGCCCAGCTGTAGAACACCCAGGAGTGAGAAACCTGACAAAGAATCTTCCTTAAAGAATAATAAATTGACAAAAGAGAGATTTTGGAAATACCATACGAATTGCTGCAATGAATTCCAGCCCTGCCCAATTGCTCAGAAAGTATTAAAGGAGCTGAAGACTACACTTCTGACTTCGAGAGAGCAGTTAGATCTGTCCACGCAGGCTCCCCCCTCTGACATGGATCTACTGAAAGGTAATGATCGACTCACCATTAACCTTTTAGTTAAACTTTCCCAGAGAAGGGGAAAGCAGAGGGCAATGAAGCAGCCCTGGAAATGACTGGAGATTAGTCACTACCATAAAGTGTAGCAACGCTGCAATGCCGTTTATTCTATGCAGTGTTGATGTGGATTAAATTTACACCTAACTTTATGAAGAGGTTTTGCCTTCCGCAGCTAATGAACATCAGTCTGTGGGACTGCTCTTGTGGCAAGGGGGATATATATGAGCTAATGCTAAGAAAAAGTTTATGCCCTGTGCTGATGCTCGTGGCTGCTGACAAATGAAGCATATTGCATGATAAAAGTCTTGGGCAGCAGTGAAAACAAGACCATGCAGGCTTTCTCTGCTTAGCATTATGCCTAAACTCCCCACTGGCAGCAGTGTGCACTGCAGTCCAGCAAGTGCTTGGATGCTACCATGTATAATGTCCAGAGCAGCAGAAATCAATTTTAAAATACAAGATTTTAAAATTTTCATGCCATTCAATAGAGGTTTTCCCCTTTCCATTCTCCTTAGATCTGCCCATCAGCTATAAAAATGAGTTAACCTTTGTTTTAGCACCTTGAAAATGTAAAGCACCACCACGCAGGGAATTTAGAAGTGTTTCACTTGTAAGTGTTTTTAATAAAAGGCAATATATTTTCAATTATTCAGTATATAATTAATTTTTGGAAATAACTGCCAAATGGTAATGGCCAGCAAACAACTTTGTGAAACTCAACTATGAAGTATACAGGTAAGGATCGTTTCAGTTGTGATCTATTGTAAGACAACAGGGGCTAATCATCACTAAATTTCAGCTACAATAACCATCAGCTAAACTCAGGTATTTTAACACACAATTTGAAAGGGTTTTACGTCTCCTTCTGACGCATATCACTCTATCTACTGCCAGAATATTCGTGTGCAGACCACTGGTTTGTTGCTATAAATTGGGGACGTGTATTCACACACTTGGTCCCAACCTGTAGAAACTGCGATAAGGAATTTTTAGCAGAATTTCTGATGTGTCATGGTGTTTTGTATTTAACCTAAATCTTACAGAACAAGAAGTGACCACAACTTGCCTTGTCCAGTGTATAAACAGTGAGACGCCACTAACAAACAAATGGGAAAAGGGAAACTATAGCACTTTGCCAGACGTACACGCCTCCTTTGCTCCTGATGGAATTTGCCATCAAGAGTTACCTGGAGATGACAGTAAAATTTCTTGTGGGCTTCCTCAGACAATAACTCTGCAGCTGGGCCAACAAACCAGTATATCTCACCAAGAAGCTGGTGCTGAATGCCAGTCTCTATGTAAGGCAATTGTTGAACCCATCAGTGAATTTCAAGAGAGCACTGAGAAATGCATTGTAAAAGTTCAGAGCAGGATGGTGGATAGTTTGGAGCAACTGCCGTTAAGAAATGCCTCTGTTGGTGCCAATCATCTCCCGTCCAGAAGATGCGAGAATACACATAATGAACATGTTGCCCAGGACTGGAAGTCTTTGGATGCAGAAACCGATTCGGATGCACTGACACAAACATATAATACCATCAATGAGCATTTAGCAGGAGGTGAAGAAGGTTGTGTTCCTGCATCTCCAAGTATTTTGGACAGAGAACTCTGCAATGTTAAATCTCTACAACTCAGCGCTATGGCATCTGTCTATACTTGCCTCCCACTCAGTGCAGATGAAAGCACTCCGGATCCTGACTCTATAACTTCCAGTCCGAATATTAGTAAAGTTTCTTTATTGGACATTCATGAAGTTGAACATAAAAGTGTAGCAGACAGGAAGTCCAACCGTTATTTGTCAAATGCGGTTATTTCGGTGCAGAAAATGCAAATTTCTCCAAGTGAAGAGAAAAGTGTAGGCAGATTGAGAGATGAAAGTGCTGATGCTGAATTCATGCTTAATGAGAATGAGGGAGCTCAGTTTAATATTGACGAGGAGAAAACAAAGGCATTTCAATCTGACTGTACTGAGCACAATTCGTATGAGTTAGTTACCGTTGTTAGCTCAAATGACACAGACGACCAAAAGAATATTAGGGAGCTGTTAGCCCCAAGTGACATTTTGAGGATTGAAAATAATACCTGGCATAATACAGACAACAATCCTTATAAAAGCTGCTTGGAAAATGCCCGCAGTTCTATAGCAGCCGATCGTAATGAATGTGACGATGTTGGATGCAAAAAGGAAACTGGCCATGAATATCTCTACCAACCTGCGGCATCAAAAGGGTGCAGATCCTCTACAAATCCTTCTCTTACTGTTTATGAAAGTCAAGCAGAAGAAATCAGTGTTGCAGGCTATGATGCTACTGTTTCTCACTCAGGCCATGCCTCCAGGAATACAGGAATTCAGCAATTCGCTTGTAATAAAAAGGACAAGTGTCAGCTCCAAAATATACAGGTAAATCCAAAAATGGAGAAGGAACCAGATATGAAATATTCTAACTCTAAATACCACATGTTAGTGGCTGGCAACACAGATGCCAAGCTTTGTGTGGCAGGAGACGACCCCTCTGCCGGTCCATATTTAGAAAGCAGACAGCCCCTGGAGATTGGACTATGTTCTAAGACCATTTGTCTGCCAGAGCAATCTCACAGGTCTCTTCTGCCACAAGGTTCTGCGCTTTCCGACCCATGGAAGAAGGAATTGGAGCAAAACTGGAGTGAAAGTCTATCAGCAAAACAACTCAAGAAAACATATTGTTCTGTTTTCAGACTACCGACTGAAGGCTCATCTTTTGGGAAGCTTTGCCAGAATGTAGACTGCACCATTGAGCCTCCTGATCTGAGCAAGGGAACATCCTCCACTACCTCACTGACACCAAATCCGTGTTTATTGGGACAAGAAACGGAAATGCATGCAAATGGAGAGTCTTGGGCATTCAACCCTCAGCTGATGGATAAAGCCACATATTTAAGTTGCCTTTATAATCCAAAGGCACCGAGGAAACAAGCAAATGAACGAAGTGTACTTTCTAATCTCCGCTATTGTAAAATTTCAGCAAAAGTATCCTTTGGTGCGGAGGAGGAGGAAGGGAGGTCAGTGTCACAAAAAAAAGAAAATGACCCAGACCAATTAACGAGTGACCATCAGTATAAACCTCCAGCTAAAAAAGTAGTCCCCACAGATAGCGACTGATGTCAGTATACTACCTGATTTGAGGCACTAGACTTTGGTAGAGCTTTGCACAGCTAAAATGCAATCAACTTGTAAAATGAATGGGTTTGTTGTGTAAACGAGGACTGTCAAAAATACCACTACTGTATTGTGCTGTAGAGATACACGTGATACTTTTCTATTACACAGTGATCTTGTACATCACTCTGGCTCTGAGTTTTCAGTCTCTTTCATTCAGAAATGTAATTTCAAGATACCCGTGTATATGATTTTTGATCTTGAACTAATCAGAAGTGTTAAACGTCCCATGAAAAACATTCAGTGGCATGCAAGTTTAGGCCTTACATTTGATGTACTCAGTGTAATAATGTACCTCAGCCAGGTGCAACCTGTTCATAGATGTTTTGGAATTAACAAAGCTTACCTGCTTTAAAGGAGGAAAGACTCACAGAATATCAGGGTTGGAAGGGACCTCAGGAGGTCATCTAGTCCAGCCTACTGCTCAAAGCAGGACCAATCCCCAGACAAATTTTTGCCCCAGATCCTTATATGGCCCCCTCAAGGATTGAATTCACAACCCTGGGTTTAGCAGGCCAATGTTCAAACCACTGAGCTATCGTTCCCTATGGGTAATGCTTAAAGATGATGGTTTGTTTTTCTTAATTTTTAAATATTTTTGGAAGCCTGTGATTGTAAATGTTTCCACCTAGGTTTTTTCCCTCTTCCATTGTGGGTAGACAATGTTTTGAATGTTCTGGGAGATGGACTTTTCTCTTGGTTTTTGAACAAACAATGAGTGGTTTCTTTGGGTGACCGAGACTTTACATACTGTATGTAGGGGAAAATATAGGGCAAATTGGGTTGGACCCTCTAACATTGACGGTGCAATGAAGCATCTCCTTATCAAATGACGGGGGTGAAATCTTTTTTCTGCAAGTAAGGATAAGATATTGCCCTTTATAGCCTTACTTTAAGGATTTTAATATTGTTGGTATTAGATTGATTTGGGCTGACATTTGACTGGAACACAACATTCATACAAAACATCGTTAAGTTAAGGGAGGGAGTTTTGAAAAGATTTGAATTTTTTTAAAAAAAATCACAACATATATCTCACAATTTTAGAGTGCTGCAAAGTGGGCTTGGTCGCTTATCTGAGCTTTGGGATTTTGGAAGGAGATTTTCAATTGACTTCAAAATTACAGCTCGCTTCCCCTTTCTAGCCCCGTCAAAAACATCAGCTCGCTTCCCCTTTCTAGCCCCGTCAAAAACCTTTACAAAAGTGTATGCTGTTGCTGCATGCAGCTGTTTTATTTTAACTTTATTTTTTACATACCAGTGTGAAGCATCTTCACATATATTTGTACAAAAAAAAATCTCCAGTTGGCTGTCTACAGTGTATTTCAAAACATTTCACAAAAGAGGGTCCCATATGTGGAAAAACCTGGAATTGCAATATGTAATTGCTAATAAAAATGCATGCACTTGCTGACCTGGAGGAGTGTGAATTCCCTTCTGGGAAATATAGATGTGACAATTTTTTCATACATATTTTTCACACTTGGAGTCAAAAGCGCTTTTTAATAGGAAGTACATACGCGCTGTACAAATTTTTGGCTATTCAAATTTCCCTTTCAATGTTGATCTACAAATGGAGTCCATATTTGCAGTATAAAACAGTAAATGGACATAGACCATGCAAGGAATTAATTTGTCAGTAAATCTGTAAATATCATTGCCATCTCATATTTTGCTTATTTCTGCATTTCTCCCAGACTCACTGGTTTGTTTAAGCACAAACATACTCTTCAGAAAGTATGTGTTGTGGTGATTTGCTAGAGATTAGCCAAGCTAGTTCAATCAACTTCAGAGACTCGTTCCTTCTCACTCAGTAACTTTTGGACAACTGATGGGTAACCAAAAGTGCACAAAACTCAGATCCTGCAGCATGTCTGGCAATATTTTAGATACCTGTGGTTACCACAGCAGTGATGCTATCCCCAGAAGTGCCTGCCTTCTGGAGTTCACGGCATGTAGTGTTGAGAGTTCCTGTCTGTACCATCTGACTCTTTTCTATTCTATTTTCTGAAATATCAAGTAACTAGACTTGCCCTACTCAGGCAATTATTCCTCATCACTCCTGGCACATTTCTTAGACCTGAGCTATTGAGGAAAAGAAAATTAACAAACTATTCTTCTGAAGATATTTGTACTTTCCTGAAGACTGACAATATTACAACCTTCATTCTAGGGTAAGAAAATTCATAACTGCTTTCTATATACATAGGTTACTTAATTCCTCATTAATCATGCAGGCACCTTGCCCTGTTGTATAGTATTTTTAAATGACGGCCTTTATATAAAATTGTGCCTATGGCTGCCAACAACAGAGCTCAGTACTGTACTTATTGGCTGTTGGATACGCTATTTTTTCTTTCCTGAATACTTAGTTTTGTCTTCTAAATAAGAACAAAAATGAAAATAAACACCTGAAGCAATTCTATGTAACTGTGTTGTTTCATGCCTCCGACACTGGTTTGTGGTCAAGACCACTGTCAGTCGGTACGTCAGTTTTATATGTACTGTATGCCATGGACCATACTGCTGTTTCTTGCTTTCTGAACAACTGAAAAGCATTTGGAGCATTAAAACTACATACAAAGGTGGGACTTTGCCCATGATCCCCTTCTAAAACAGCCTTTTATAAGTGGACACATAATTTTCCCTTTGATGCCTTAACGTTTTCAGGAGCATTACAAAAATAAAGTATTTCATTTTTACATTAGTCTTGTAACCAATTCTAAAGAAATAGAAAATTAAACCTTTGATCTTAGAATTTCATCAGCTGTAGCTAAATATCTACAAGCGATTTTTTTTACATCTCATTAGATTTACCATAAATTTACACCATAGAAATTTGTAAGATTTTAATTTGTAAAAGCGTCATTCTTTTGTAAAATACATGTATATATTAAACAAAATGAAGCATTGTCAAAGTACCACAGAACACTGTTAAGGTTTTTGGTATTCTAATAAATCATGCATATTCTATGTGTGTTGGTTTGGGTTTTTTCTTATGTTAACCATTATGATTTAGTATACTATATTTATCATTTTTGCCAACCTAACTTACTGTTCTGCTACTCAGCTGGGTTAGCCTTAACACTTTGCCTTTTAGCACCCTTAAAATGTGATCTTTGATTTGGACATGATCACTCAAACAAATACAGTGCATCTTTTTTCAGTGTGCGTCGTGAATTCCTGTGCAATTAATTGATCATTCTGAAAACGTGCAGTATAATAAACCCTTACTTTATGACTGCACACCCACAAACTTGCATGCAGCAGTAAATAACCCCTAGTACTAAGCGCCTGATCTGTGATGACTGTTTGGCACTTCCAATTAGATTTTAACATTAAAAACATGCATGGCTGCAGGAAGTGCACTTTGTTGCACTGTCCACACACAAACTATATATTACTTCTCTCTACTTATAGAATCACTTCCTATTTACACACCTCCTCGGCTCAGGGAGCCAGTCAAATGAAAAGGAGCGTTCATCTTGCACGTACCATAAGCAGAACATACGCAGGTAATATGCCTAGGCTTGGAAGGATTTGATTTTTATCGGTAAATGTCAGTAAACATCAATTTCACAGACGAAAAAATTATTTCCATTGGTGGTAACAGAAATTTTCAGATAGGCAAAATAAGAAAAGTGCTGCTTGGGAACTTACTAGAGTTTGATTTAAGTATAGTTGCTTTATATATAGTGATGTGATATTAATAACTTGTATTTTAACAGCAGCAGAGTTTTAACTTTTTGAATCTGAATGTCTGTCATCAAATGATTGTCTGCTCCCTTAGTTTCTTGCAACTGTGAACATTTAAATCAGTAAAAATTTTAAACAGGGCTTAAAAACAAACATTGATATTTTCCATCAAAATTATATTAAAAAAAAAATCAAATTCTGCCAAGCCTAAAAAACACACAGCAAGGCATATCAAGTCAAGAGTATATAGAGTTGACCTGTAACTTCTTTTACAAATGGATATTTCTGTGTCTAATTATGGCTTTGTTTTACTATAACCTGAGTGAAAAATAGGGATTGGAAACCCTCCAGAAGTTTGTAATTTAGACGTGGTTTAACATAGTCACAGTTTGAGGATTATCAAAACTATCTGAATCTCTTGAGTCTGCAAAATGACTTGTAAATCTCAGGAGAACAGGTGTGCTTCTGAGACTTCTGTTACTTCCTCTCAGATATCCTGCAAGAATATCTTTTCTCATGATACTTTTGACACTTCTCGTCCCAGTGAGAAATAAATTGGGAAGAAGAAAAACCTTTGTTACCCAAACATTTCAAAACTTCAAAAATGTTTGAGTCTGTTTGAGTCTGGGTCTACAAATGGCTGAAGGTTCAGGGGAAAGTTTAATGCTGCTTCCTTTACCTGCTGTAGATCCTACGGACTTTTCCTACTAACTCTGAAAATAAACTCTTTTCACCATTGCGTGGATGAACAATTGAAATCTGCTGAAAACAACCAGTGTACCTATGGGCGCATATCTAGATACTCCAATGAATGTAAACCCCTTAATTGCCCAACATTAGCCACATCATGTGTTATTTGTAGACACGCAACATTGTACTGAGGGAACTCCAACCAGGAGATGAAGTTCATTACTTTCCTCACTGTGTCTGGGAAACACAAGGCTTGCAACATATTAAACATTGCTGTGTGGTTTCCATACACAAGTCTGTCTCATTCCAATTATGATATGACAATTTAATTGAAGTAGGAAACTGTATTAAAAGGTTTTTGATTGGCAGCACCAACTACACAGAACCTAGTCCAGGTTTTAAAGTCTTCCTACATGATGCCTATTGATCTGCCTCTTTCTTTTCGCTTATATTTTAAGCCTCAATCATCTTTGTGAAGGTGGGAAGATTTCATTGTAAGAAGGAAGGGCTTAAAAACACACTTAAGTGCATGGAATACACCCCATGACTGAGGGGTGTGGCTGGAGAGAAAGCAAGCAGTGGTGCTGCCTTGTACAAGCAACTTGAACCACAAGGACACAGAGATGGGCAAACTGTATAGAGAATAGTATCAGAGGGGGAGCCGTGTTAGTCTGGATCTGTAAAAAGCAACAGAGAGTCCTGGGGCGCCTGTAAGACTAACAGATGTATTGGAGCATAAGCTTTCGTGGGTGAATGCCCACTTCTTCGGCTATGCATCTGATGAAGTGGGCATTCACCCACAAAAGCTTATGCTCCAATACATCTGTTAGTCTTAAAGGTGCCCCAGGACTCTCTGTTGCTTTGTATAGAGAATGTGTAACCCAGCAAGTGTTCCTTCCCACCGGGATGCTATAGGGAGGGGTGCAGGATGCAACCTGGAATTGAGGATGATGTAAAATTGGCACTTTAATGTACAGCATGCCAGGCTCTTTCCTTGATATCTCCTCACAGCTCCAGGCTCTGGAACACTCTGCCCTATGGCAATAGTCTGCAAAACTGAGCTCTGTGGCAGGGTGGCCTGAAAAAGCCTTTTTCTTCATTGGCACGTTTCTAGGCCACACCAAGGAGAGAGTTTGAACTACAGTGCTTGTCCCCATGATACTAAATTTCAGGGTCAGGAAGGCATTTAAGCAGGGAGCTCCAGCCAAAGCTTTTCTTCCTTTCATAATGTATTATTTAATGTATTATTTAATGTGGCAATAGCCACTTGAGAATAGTCTTACAAGCTGGGTGGCTCTACAACGGAAGCTCAGGTGCCATTGGAATACTTGTATGAAATGGTTTACTGACAATGATACAAAATTATCAGAGTCAGGAGCGGAAGGCAGAGCTGGAGGAATTCTCATCTGTAAGGGAGAAATCGTTTTTTATACTGATTACCCCATGATTGCAAATGCCCGATATTAGGATTTTTCAGGAAATGAATCATAGGTTAACACCTTATTGATGATTTTGGACTTTGGACACAGAGATATTGCTGGTTTTGCACAATTCTCTAAGCACTAAATTGTATTTTTATTGGCTGTTTAAAACTGCAATTTTAAACAACACGTTTAGCAAACAACTTTTATTGTGTGGGAACGAATGGCAGATGTTTGTGAAAATAAACAAAGCTGCTGTGTCCATTCATCTTTCAATCCCTGGTCAACCAATCAGTGATGTCCAGTGGAACTTCATGACATTGTCATTGTGCTTTACAGGATTTTCACAAAAATCTCTTGTTTTAATATATGAATTTAAAAGTATATAAAGTCAACAACTTTGTTAGTCCCTTGGCATTCAAATAAACCATTTACACATCAACAGTTTAAAGTGTGCAAAAATAGGTGAAAAATACATTGTTTTTCTGCTATAGAAAGTTCTCTACTATTTAGTCAATGCAACTGTTAATAGGAATTGGCCAGATTGTACTATGCTGACTAGTATTGTAAGGTTATTCTGTACATTCACATCTTTACTGTAGGCAAAAGCTACTTGTACATATAGTTTTACCCAATTATAAAACTATATAAAAGAACTTTGTCTCTGAGGCTCATAACAAAGATATTAACATTTTTGGTACCTCAAATGCTGTGAGAGCCTGAACAAAGTCTATTACCATCAAAGGTTGAGCTTGCAGTCGATCAGTAAATGAGTTAAGGGGAATGACTGGCAAGACCCTTCTCAAACTTAACAGGATTTTGCTGTTAAGAAATTGCTATTTAAAAGAGGGGCGAGCTTTTTAGATAAGAGACTTGTCCCTTAACAAGCGCAAAGAACACGAGTGCAGAAACAGCATAGAAAATAAGCGACGGTGTAGCAACAGCAACACTAAATTCATACGAATTGTTGCATTTTGGCTTTCATGAGATTAAGCTTCAGCGTAATTCATAAGTGCTCTGGAGCTGTGGCGAAGGAGTATTTAATGCAATTTACCAGGAAACGGAAGTGGGTAGGAGGGAGGTATGTGGATGCATGTACTGTGATGGCTTTAGCCATCTTTGTGTCTCCCAGTATCCA